TTATACAAAACGTGGTAATTGAGAGGCTATAACAAATGAAACCGAGAGACTATAATTTGTGGGGGAAACAATCAGGTTTAAGATAATAGATTTCGAATTTTGGGACGAACGTCCTTCATCCATTTGGCTAAATAGAGTTTTGGCATTATAGCTGATGCCAGTTCGTGATGAAAATCACGTAAATAATTCCTAGCTAAGGCAAATTATGACAATTATTACGAACTGGGTAATAAAAACACCAGTAACACTGGCTGCAGCTAGGTACTACAATATATACGGATGATTGCAGAGCGCACAGACTCCTGCATAGGCTTGGTTATGTGCGTCGTGTCGTTAACCGCAAGTGGCATTTTGTGTACTCAACAACCGGAGTGCACACAAGCAATATTGGAGCTATGTGGTCGAGGCTGAAAGAGTTTTTGCGACCTTATCATGGTTCCAGAGACCGACTATTCTGTAGCCATATGGATGATTTCTTCTACTGCATGTACTACAAATTAAGAACCTATGAACCTCTTTCTTACATTGACAAGTTTTTGAACCTTGTATAATAAGTGTATCTACTTTATTTGTTTGGTTTTGTATAATACATTTTTACTCTAAAGTGGCTGTTTGTTGATTGGCTAATATTTCTTAAAAATCATCCATAAATTATAGTCTCGCCGATGGAAGCTTCACGACCAAACCATTCAACTCAAAGAACAAAACTCCATCAATGACATTTATGCTTCTTCAATCTATTTTCTAATTTTATGATCATAATTTTGACTAAAACAACCAAAAATTACTATAATATTCACATTAAATCCCTTCTGATACTAATCAATTTTAATTACTAGTGAATTGTATAAGGTTTTAATTTTTAATGTTAAGGAACCAGTAAACAATAAATAATCATCGAATAGATCCTGAATTCGAATCCCGCGAAGTAGGATTGCGGATGCGCATGGCTGAAAAGTCCCACAATGCGAAGAAATGGCCGTCCAGTGCCTCCAGGTTTTTCATGGCGGTTTGGCTTCAGTTAACTCATGATCTCAACTATTGAAATTATTACAATCTCCACAAAACCCCTTCTGATACTTATCAACATATACTCATTAGTGACTGGCTTCAAAGTGTATATCTTGGAGTTTTAGTGAGAAGCAGTGAACAGTGGAATTCAACCGGGTGTGTTGTGAGACAGTAATTCACTGATGACAATGATGGATATGTCGGTCAATATCGTGGATTAATTGAATTCATATATTAACACTGTTGGATGCCGGCTCAGTGGTCAAGAGTTTAGGAGTTTGCGCGCGAGACCGATACGTCCTGCGTATGAATCCCGTGAGGCGGGGTCGTGGATGCGCACTGCTGAGAAGTCTCACAATAGGACGAAATGGCTATTCTGTGCTTCCAGGTTTTCAGTAATTGTCTAACTTCGATTGACTCATGATCTCAACTATTAAAATTACTATAATATCCACAAAAACCCCTTCGGATACTAAAATCTGAGTAATTTGAAACCAAAAATATGTTTTTCTTAATGTTTATTTTAAAAATAATTATCTAGTATAACTTACTAATCTAAGACAAAATATTTTAAAATTCAAGTGAAATATATGATTATCCATTATTATTATGATTATCTTTTAATCTAAGATACTGTTCTGTTGTCTAGGAATCCAGTTTTGAATAAAAGTTTTGTTTACAACTCCTTTTTTTTTTCTTCTAAACAACAACCATATAATTTCAACTTGATTTTGTTAAATTATAAAATGAATAGAAATATCTAATAAAATTTTTAAGATTTTAATTTTTGATCAAAATATTTTCAGAATCATTCTAACATTATTGTTCATTCACATTATTATCGTTATAAGTTCAAGTGAATAACTTTGTCTTTATTTATAAATGAATTTGTTTATTTAATAAACTTTTTTTAAATTTTATAATAATAAATTGAGATGTTTATTTGTGTGAAAAGATAAGGAGTTTTGTAAAGAAAAAATTTTTAAAAAAAATGTTTGTACTATTTTGTCAGTTCTGAGGGTTCAATTTGATTAGTTTGATAATATTGAAGAAATAGAATATTATTCTGAATTAAAAACATGAAGTTCATTGAAGGACTCGCTTTTCAGCGAATTTATCATCAAGCTGTACAATCGTATAGATATATATATATGAAAAGTTTTTTTGTTAAAGTACCAATTCTGTGAGGAAATGTAAACACATGAAATAAATAAACATGAGGTTCTCGTTTGTTTGCATAAATATTTCAAAACAGACAAACAAACAAATTTTTTTAAAGTATGCTTGTATATGTATATGTATAAAATTATCTCTATGTACAATATAGTAAAATGGATTAGGAGTAATCTATGACTATATTGTTTATATTCGCATTCATAAGAAATCTCAAAATGGTTTGCTGTAATCTATGCACTATGAAGACATAATACACTGAGTAACTAAAAAAATTAAAATAAACTGATTTTCATCGAGGTATAAAATTGTTATACAAATTAGATTATAATATAGCAATAAATCACTTAGATAGTTTCAAAAATAGAATGATTATTACAAACCAGAGTAGTTGTTTAATTTTATTTATAGATTAAATTCAGTTTCGCTAGTAATTTCTACTTAATCAGATGTGATCAGATAAGTAATATAGTGAGACTGTAATTTATGGATGACCTTTGTGCAACGCTGAGGTGACTTTGAGAGTGAACATCTACTGATTAGGACTAAATGAAGGTTATAAAACAGTTAGAATTTTTATTTACAGTTGATGGTTAGAGTTAAAAATTAGATTTAGAGTTTTCATCATGAACTGACATCGGTTATAATGCCAAAACTCTTTTTGCCAAATGTATGAATGAAGTCTGCGCTAAAATTCATGACTCATTATCTTATATCTGATTGGTTCGTTCATAAATTATAGTCTTGTCAGTAATAAATATATTTGTTGTTATATCCTAATGAGCGGGGAAATTGTATTTTTCCAGAGTATTTACTGTGAAGAAATGGATTACATTAAGTTATGAAGCGTCAGAAATACAATTTTTTCTACTCAATGGGATACAACGAAAAATGTATTTATTATTAGTTCTCTACTCGCTGTTCACATTATTTATAACTATCAAGTACAACCTTGGTATTGATACCTATGATCAGAGAAGTACGTAAAAATGATCCAGGATGTGTCAGACGTAAAGACTTAACTGTCTTACAGTATCTTTGATAGAATAACTTTTTGGACTTTGTTTTTCAATAATAGACTTCCATCAAGCTTTCTAAATTCTGTACTATTGGATTCATGTTGCAATATTTGTAGCAAATGTTAATGACGCTAATATATATTTAACATAATATTGATGCTTACACTAATGTAATCTATAAGATTTAACACCGTCATTATTTCATTGTTGAATGGCTTAAAAGATACTTGGTTATGTATTTGGAAATATGATAAATGAATAAGTTTACGTTTCAATCGGGTTACATTTTTAGTCTAATTTTTCCTTGGTGTAATCCGTCTATAATAAAATTTATGTGGATGAATAAATGTTTAACAATACACTTGAATTGTAGAAATAGATAATGATATATACTATGTAGCTTTTAAATTAAGGATTCATAAGAAAGGAATGCTTTTTCATGAGAATAACTATAGAAGGAATTATTTCATCTTGCAATAGTAACTGTATAAAGTCACTTTATTTTTATTATTAATAAATCATAGTAAGTATCATGTGACTATGAAAGTATGACCGGATTAGAAAATGTCTATAAGACAATACTTACTTTAAAATCATATTGAAAAAAATGCATCTAAATGAGAGAAAACTATACCTAATCTACTGACTATTCAACGATTATATAAGTTGATATTGGTTTCAGTAGGATTTGAAATTTACAATATCTTTTAGCAATAAAGTTTGCTATGAAACAAACAATATGAGACAATTATGTGCGGTTGTTTTATCAGTTTACAGATTTTGGCAAAGTCATATGAAGTTAGACAATAACACCGTTGGATCCCGGCTCAGGGGTCTAGTGGTTAGGTGCTCGCGCGCGAAACCAGTAGGTCCTTGGTTCTAATTTCGTAGGGGGCGAGGTCGTGGATGCGCACTGCTGAAGAGTCCCACAATAGGACGAAACGGCCGTCCGGTGCTTCCAGGTTTTCCATGGTGGTCTAGATTCAACTGACTCATGATCCTAACCATTGAAAAGTCATATGATTTAACCATTAAATATATATATTAAATAAAATGAAACATCGACGATAACTCGTTTGCACAATATTTTATAACAAATACTATTTTTGTGAACGGCGAACGGAATGAAATTAGTTATTAACTGATGCAGAAATTCATGATAATTATTTTTATTTATAAACGAATAATATTTTAACTACGATTACTGCTAGATATTCTCTTATTTGACACCAAAATATAATGGACTTAGTCACTTCACACTAGATGCTCATCGAATTCGAATAAAAATGAAAATATAAACAAATAGGTGATACTATAATTTATGGACGAATTTTGAGCCTCGCTACAGTGGCCGTGAGAATGTTCAACTATACACTAGGACTAAATGAAGGTTTAAAACCAGTGTGAGGGATTAGAATTATGATTTACAGTTGACAAACTGTAACTAGCTAAAATGCCAAAACTCTTTATAACCAAATGGATGAAGAATTTCGTACCGAAATCCAAGACCTGCTATTGTAAATCTGATTGGTTAACATGATATGGAAACCATCCACTTCATTCTACTCAGGATACTTACAAAACAGAGTAGTTTGGTCGAATATAAGATCAAAAGAATGCATTACATTCAAGTCACATAACATTTGTTAGTTCTTAAATGTCTGTCTGTAGTGAAACGTATATTTAATATCAACCTATCTTCGGAAAGCACTTACTACGATTTAAAATTGTTTCAATGATTAATAACTTGTAAGTTATAAACATCTTTGTTAATTCTGTTTTTAGAATTATTGAAACATGTCTTCCAATCGAACGATTGAAATGTTAAGACCAGTTATGAAAGATTTCGACAGCATTGTCTTACCGTACTGGCACAAATTTGAACAACCACATCCATATTACCAATATGCCATAGGTTTATTCATTGCAGTTGTTGGGTTAACTGGTGTGTGCCTTAATCTATTAGTCATCATATTTTTTACAATGTGAGTTTAAACGAATTCTTTACATATTAAATTTTTCATTAATTTAATATCAAATTTCTCAACAGATAAAAACAGATAAATTTAATAAAACAGTTTATTCAAGTAGTGGAATCTTTTTTCTATGAGTTAGTTTTGAACACCAAGCAATCTTATTCATATAAGCGATAATCTATAGTAAGAGGGGGATTTGTGGAAATTGCAGTGATTTTATAGTTGAATTCATGATTCAATTGAAGCAAGACCATCATGGAAAAAATTGTATCGTGTTACAACTTAATCAGTTCTTATGTGAATTTCGACCAAAGTATTTTTCCAACAAACAAATAGATGTTGAAGGTAATAATGTTTGAAGCATGAGGAATATTTAAACAGTAAGATGAACAGAGTACTTTCACTACTGTTAGATTAAGATAAAAATATGTGGATGATAATAAAGAAATATGGATGAGTGCAAGCAGAATGAAACAGAACCGGTAATGTAATTGTAGGTATGAGATAAGGACAGAAAATAAATAATTACATAAAATTACAAACTGAAACCAAAGCAAAGTGAACAAATTGTTTTCATACATACAACTCAACTATTGAATTATAGTTGACTACAGAATTTTTAGTTCTTGATAATGAGGATTATTTTTCACATTTATTTATTTATTAAACTTTACGGTAATTTCAGTAGTTGAGACCATGAGTCATTTGAAGCTAGACCACCATGGAAAGCCTGGAAGCACTGGGTAGCCGTTTCGCCCTATTGTGAGACTTCTCAGCAGTGCGCATCCACGACCCCGCCTCACGGGATTTGTACGCAGGATGTATCGGTCTCGCGCGCAAACTCCTAAACTCTAGACCACTGAGCCGGCATCCAACAGTGTTAATATATGAATTCAATTAATCCACGATATTGACCGACATATCCATCATTGTCATCAGTGAATTACTGTCTCACAACACACCCGGTTGAATTCCACTGTTCACTGCTTCTCACTAAAACTCCAAGATATGCACGTCGAAGCCAGTCACTAGTGAGTATATGTTGATAAGTATCAGAAGGGGTTTTGTGGAGATTGTAATAATTTCAATAGTTGAGATCATGAGTTAACTGAAGCCAAACCGCCATGAAAAACCTGGAGGCACTGGACGGCCATTTCTTCGCATTGTGGGACTTTTCAGCCATGCGCATCCGCAATCCTACTTCGCGGGATTCGAATTCAGGATCTATTCGATGATTATTTATTGTTTACTGGATCCTTAATTTAAAAAATTAAAACCTTACACAATTCACTAATCATTAAAATCAATCTCACTAATATCATTTTTTTAATTTTAACAAAAAAGTCGAATGAAATTCTTTTGAAATTGAATAAATAATTGTGAAATCTAATATTTACGAATTTATAGAAGGTCAGAAAACAATTTAACGAATATCTGATCCAACTATAATAGATGCATTTATTATATGATTACTCAATGACCTTGAGTGATGTAAAAGTAAATTCAATTTGACAGGAATCATTATCTGGAATTTAATGAAATATATCACGAATATAATTGATATAAGATTATAGATAATGAATGATTATGAAACTTATAGAATGATCATAACGTTATCAAGAAATTTCACTTATTGAAGAAGAATAATAATTGTCTTAAACTTCTAAAAGATTCAACAAATTTACTAGTAGAGAACGAAATAGTAATAATTTACCGATTACTAAAACAACATTGGAACTCAACATCATTCTTCACCTTTTTACTATCAAAATTTTGTACGGATATAATTATTTAAAAATGATATATCCAATAATTATGCTAGTAAAATTCAATAGTAATTGATTCGATTTTATTTCGGAAGTGTTTTATTTTGAGTTAGAGTGAATTTATGTGTTAATTAAATTACCAATTGTAATTAGTTAAATGAAATGATGGCTAACAGTGGAATCCAGGACGCGCGTTTCATCCTGTTCGGGGATTGGCAGCTGGATGTACCTGTATCCTAGAATTGGTGATCACTCTTGGACTCGAACCCAGTACAGTACACTTCAAACACCATCGCATCATTCACTTATCTACTGAGTTCTCATAACCACTAGATACTTAAATAGATATTTAACTTAATTTTTCATGTTACAAGGGGGGGGGGCTAAACGTTTATTTAACAGTGCTATTCAGTTTTTTGGTATTCCATACCAATAGCTATGAAAAGCAAATTTAAATTAACTAGCTATGAAACTTAAAAATTATTCATTCAAAGTAGAATTGCAATTATCGGTCAAAGTATAAAAGGCTTGTGATATTAAATAAGAACTAAGTCTATTTCATCAACGAGTAATTCTAGGTACGTCTAGGACACAATGAAACATGTAGATAATACTGTCTCTCCTTTGATATATATTTAGGTGGGAAAATTTCTATAAAACTATAGAAAAATCCATAATCCCTATCTAGGTAAGAATTTACAACAAGCATTTAATCGAATCAGTCTCAAATCAAGTCAACATTGAGCAACTAAGTACTATTTATTATGATGGTTTTTCAAATACACATCTTCTAAATTTTCCTAATAATAAAGCATTAATCATCAATGTAATTTATGGGATAGAAGCGACATTACATATTTCGTGACAAATTTTTACAAAACTATCTGATAAAGAAACGTAATATTGAATTGAGGTTTAAACGCAATCATTTAACCATTACATGGAGACAAACTTACCTTCTGGAAAAGATAATTGGTGAAAATAATCAATCAGTAATATGACTTCAAATAAAATCAATCTAAACAGTAAGGTAAATAAATTGATTCAATAAGAACTACACAATAATAACAGCTATAACAAATAAAGTATTTTCAATTAATTATTTACTAACTGATGAATTTACATAAATTTTATGATTCTTTGATTGTTTAGTGAATATATTACATCTATTGATATGTTTTAATTTGTTTATTTTCACTCTGCTGAAACTATTGTAATAAACGAGCTGACCTATATCAATGACGTAACACTTAAATGATCGGCCCTAATTACATGAACTAAACGATCGATTTGATTTATTTTTTTTACATTATTTATACCTGTTATGTTCGTTAAGCTTGAATACTACTACTGATTCGTCTTACTCGGAACGGAACGAAGAATCAAGCAACCAGAGACTCGATAGGCTATACTGGTCCGTTGTCCCTGACTCAGCTAACTCGATCCAGAAGTCTTGGTAAAATGTAGAAAGTGTATTCTACAGGCAACCAGAAGATACCAGGTCAATCAAGCACACAAATCAAGCGTATTTATGCAAAATATATATAATCGATATTGTCATGGAAGTTTTTAAACATTTAATCGATAAGTTCGTCAATCGACTATGTGCGTGGGTGGTAAGAAATGCCCAAGCATACATCTGCATACAAGCTCTACAAAGATAAAATTACAAAATATGAGTTATGGGGATCTAACGTCCCCAACAATACTTGAATAGAGTCACTAAAGGTAGATATTTTTAAGTGAATCGACCCATATTTTGTCATCAGATATTCGTTTTCCCAATCAATGAGATATTAATTACAAATAAATTACTATTTAAATGGTTGGAAACAATTTACCCAATACTCTGTTTATTTAAAATTATTTAGCCAAGTCTTGGCAGAGGTATTTATTTGTAAAATGTTTCCTAGATATATTCAAATGAATCAACATGTATTAAACTAGATCTATTACGATTCGGAATAATTCCAGCTTTTTTTCTGTATGTTTTTTTCTAAAGGTTTAAATCTCTTAGAACACCTTCAAATATTCTGGTTGTAAATTTAGCAATATCAGATTTAGGATTTTCAGCAGTTATTGGCTTTCCTTTAAAAACTATGGCAGCATTTAATAACTTCTGGCCATGGGGTAAAATAGGTAAATTTGTTTTAGTAAATAGTATCTCAACTTTAAAATGTAAACAATAACAAATTTAGACGGTTACTATGATAGTATGCACCAGTCGCCTATGATTTATTCATATCAAATTATTTCGAATGTGTTCAGATATTTGACATGCTAAACGATATCACATTTACTGATTATTTTTAGTTTTGCATCGAAATATTATGTGTATAATATATTTAAGTTTAGTGTAAGTTAGTAGACTACAGTTATACACTGTAACGTATTCTTGAATTAGTGACTGTTAGAATTCAATGTTAAATTATCTTAGACTTTAGTCTGAATATGATTTGTCGTAGAAATACAGAATTCAGATAATTAACTGAATAGATTGATATTGGGGCTCGTCTATTTCTACTTCAGATGTAAGAAGGCGATTTATGAAAACAATAGTCTTGCATTTGTAATTCCCTAGTCAAAAAACGGTGTTTTGATGCTTACGTAACTGATATATTTCGGAAAATTCAGTCTTAAGTAATCCAACTCTATGGACAAAGTCTATACAGTCAAGCTTCGTTTGTTCGGTCTAAAGAGTAGAAAATATTTGGTTGATGGGAGCTATGGATTTATCAGAATCTTAGATGAAACCTGTGACAACGTTGGTAGCATGGACCGATTAAGGAGTACCAAATTACTTGAAATATACGTTGAGTACATCTTTAGTGATGCCTCTTGCTACGTTACTTTTCAGTACAAATACAATATATGTAATCTTTTCGAAAATTTCAATGTAAATCTAGTAACACCTTTGATCTTTATCTCCATAGTATAAAATCGTATGTTTTTATATACGCTCTTATCAATTAAAAACTTATCAGAAGATCATTTTACAAGCTAAAGAATAGCTTTATTATAGTTATCTTAATTACACAGCATTCAGAAGCTATGCATATCCACCTTAATTATACAAAATAATATAATAGTGTTTTCAATAATAAAAGCTTCCAAAAGTTTGGAAGAAACTAAGAAAATATTATTTGATTACATTAAGGAAAAAATATTTCGGTAAAATCTCAGAGATTCAGTTTTAAGTAATTTCATTAACGTTCCAGTAACTGGTTTACTATTTTAAGCTTTGACCCTAATATAGCTATTCTAGTACAAAGACTATTGAACTGTTTTGTTAAAAAAAAAGAGTTTTGAGAAGGGTTAAATCGCAGTTTGGTTCTCTGTGGATTCTCTGATTCATTCGAAATTGTGTAATGTCAAATTAAGTCATTATAACTTACTTAAGCTTTTTACCCCCTTCCAACATAGGCCGCGAATTAGGAATCCTTGACCAGTTTTTTCCTGGGCTCCGCTTTTCAGTTATTCCGATGGGTTGTTCGTGTTCCTGATTTCTACCTATAATTATCTGCTCCATGTGTTCTTTGGTCAGTCTCTTGCTTCTTGAACTCGCCTCGTCATTGAATTCAGTGGTTTTCCTAAGGTGTTTCCTATCCACATCCATCACTTTTTATTAATTTCATACGCAACTGGTTGTCAGTTCATTCTTTAATAGAATGGGTTATTGCTGACGGTTCCCGACGAATGGGTCTTTGGTTTCTTGCATAGACATCTGATGATAAATGCGTGTACGTTTTTGATGGGGACGGTAGCATTGGGACTGACAGTAGTGTAGTTCCTCTGTAGTTCCCATATTTACCGAGATCCATTTTCTTCAATATCTTCATCAAGTGTCCTTCTTTTTAGTCTGATGGTGCTTGTTCTTCTTCAAAAAACTTTCTAAACAAAACTCAGGACCTCCTTCCAGCTACCTCTATATCTAACTCCAATGTTTCATCTTGCATGCTGTCCGATCCGTATTTTACTATTCTTGCAATTTTTTTCAATGTAATTACCAGGTCTTTATGTTTCTGCATGTTAACTCTAATGCACTTCTTCACTTGCTCGTTTGCTTCTGAATTTGTGGCCTGTGTCTTGAATTTATCTGCTGTTGTTCGGTTGTTGTTGACTATTATCTTGTTTTTCCTTTCTTGAATCTTGCCTAGGGTATCAATAGGGCTCTGTTCTTTATTCAGGTGCATCTTGAGACCCAGTGATTTCTGTCGTGTTGAAGTTATTACAGCCTTGATTCCTTTCCAAGTGTTTGCCACAGTGGTTTTACCTTTTCTGACTACATCTAGTATGGCTTGGAATCTGCTAATGAGAGTTATCTTGAATTCGTTCAGTTTATTTGCATTTGAAGGAAGGATGTATTAAACGTTTGTAATGTTGTTTTTCCAGTTGTCCAGCACTTCTGAATCTTCAATTTTAGCTCGGCTACTACTGGGCAGTTATTTGAAGCTATATCAGCTATTTTGTGCTTACGTTTTCCGTTGACCTTCTGAAATCTTAATTCATGAAGACGTAGTCCTTTAGATTTTCTGTAGTGTAGTGCGGTAAGACCTATGTAGCTTTGTGTATACATCCTAGGAAGAAAAAGTGTCAACTATGACCGTGTTATTAAAAGCTACGAGTTCCCCACCGTATTAGTCTTTTAAATGCTTACTCTGGAGGCATCTGTTCAACTCTTTGTTAGTGTAGGGCATACTCTTTTTAAGTAGAACACGATAGCATCCCTACTGAAGTTAGTCTCTTCCGTTTAGATTGTGTCCAATGAGATTCACTTATTCTGAGAAGAATCGTGTTACTTCTCATAACTGTGACTTTAAATTACACTCCCGTTTTTCAACATTGTTCAAACATTCCATGTTCCTATGTTTAGTTGTTTCATAGTTGTTAAAAGTGGTTTTGAACATATTATTCCCAGTGACTTCTGGCTTTGTATGAGTGGCATTGACGCTATGATAATGGATATTTTTTGAGGTGGAAATCTTAAACCCAAACCTGACATCCTTTCTTTACTCAAGCTTGGGACTTACAGCAGCCACAGATGGCCTATAAGCAGAGTTCAGCCGATTGTATTGGATAAAACACAGTGTTATAATGGGTTTTATTCAAAGATGTTACTTTAAATACTTATATGTTAATTCCAGAACACTGTTCTTGTTTGTTCTAAATTAGCTCATTTTAACTGAAGAATCTATGTAACTCTGCCAGGCTAATATATTCTATTGCGATTCTATGATTTGTGGGCGTTTATTTAATAATAGTTTTTAGAGTGTGTTTTTGGATTTCATATAACGTTTTATCGAACTATAGATTATTGACATCTTTTCTAACTTCCACAAAGCGTGTGATATATATGGGTTAGCTGGTGGACTCTTTGGATTTGTTTCCTTATCTACGATAGCCGCTGTTGCACTGGATCGCTACTTAGTTATTGCAACTCCTTTTGAAAGTGTATTTCAAACAACTCCTAGACGTACATTATTGTTAATGTTATTTTTATGGTTGTGGTCTCTTATCTGGACGATTCCACCACTTTTCGGATTTGGTAAGCGATAAATAACTAATTCGTAATTCACTTCATTCAATAAAATTATTTAAAGTGAATACTTTAGCTAACATTTACGAATTCTCATTACTAGCTCTTTGTAGAAAATTAAGAAGGATATTTTTGTGTGTTTACTGTCGATTATTTCGTGAAAATAATAATTTCAAATACTTCTTTTGTTGTACGCCATCAACAAGATTTTCGTTCAATACAATACTTTTGACAGAGTTTGCCATTTCATCAAATTCAGTGAAACTGCAGATACAAACAAAGCATTCTTGTAACAACTAATATTTATCGCTTATTGTGAATATTTTTAGTGGGGCTCTTTATTCAGATGTCAATTAGATCGGACGATGTTTTTGACAGGTTCACGACTTTTGTGGTCCGATATCTGTCTCTAATTTGGGACCGTTGTTGGATGGAATCATGTTAATGGGGAAGTGGGCACAAACGAACTTCATTTTATAACGGTATCCAAATTTAACACCTTTCATCGTATTTCCAATATGGGAGCAGAATGTTCGAATCACGTCGAGCTCACCACTTTAGTGACCCAGGATCTGACTCCAGTTAAATGATATCGTGTAAAACATAAAAAATATTATATTACCACCTTTGAAAATTTATAACAAACACTGCAATTTATAACTCAGAATTATATCATTAGTAGATGTGATGCGATGCCACATAGTTTAAAACCATTAGCTACAGAATAGTATTATAATGAAACCTACGATTTTTAAAAACTCTAGACATTCTATAACGGAACAGATGTCAAAAGCTTTGAGTTTAAAAGTGACAATGGACAACCATAATATCATTCCCTAAGTCTGTTCTTTTTGAATATAAATACTCAGCTCGAAATACGTAAATTCACTTGAATATAAAAAAACATCAGCGAAGAGTAGAGATTAGTAATCCGATGATGATGATGATGATGATGATGATGATGATGATGATGATGATGATGATGATGAGCATATATGTTACATATAATACTGTTTAAACTGATTCAAACTAATGTGGTTTGCATTTTGTTCCTTTATTCAGGACGTTACGTGACAGAAGGATATCAAACCTCATGCACTATGGATTATATATCAACTGACCTTAACAATCGATTATTCAACATTGGACTGTTTGGTTTTGGTTTTTTATGTCCTTTATTTTTATCACTATTCTGTTACGCCAGAATTATTCTAATTGTAAGAAGTCGAGGTAAAGATTTTATAGAAATGGCAGCAAGTTCCAAAGGCACTAATCAAAAGGAAAAAGGTGCCAATGTATGTAAGTGAATTGAACTTCTTTGACAAATAATCATATACACAAATTTTACTGTTAAAAAGAAATATATGTAGACATAACAGAGGTTCGTTGACAGATACGGTGCAGTATGTAATAGTAAATTGGTAATGTAATTGATCTAGGAAAATATCTCCAACCATAGTCCAATTTTAAGCAAAAGGTTGTAATGCATTTTTGTGAACTTATACCGTTTATCTAATTCATCATTATCAAGTTACAATGAAACATTACACAACATAACCTTCTGATAAATTTAGATTTGCAAAAAATGTTCTTTGTTTGTTGTTAAAAACAATCACATATACCAATGTAAAATTATGATATGAATCAAACAGTTTTAAACGGGAAACAAGAAATCAAAGTTGTGATAACTCTAATATGTCGATAATCTTATTGAATTACTAATACTGAAATTTCACTACATCTTCAATTTATAAGTATACAAGTCATGTATTCGATTCTGCTAGGAACACTGAATTAGTTACAGAAAATCTTACCAGTGAGAATAAACAACACAAAAGGGGCTTGTTGAAATTTAGTACCTAATTACATCTGCATAAATATCTGGTCATACTGTAAAGAAGTGATTTTGCACCTTATTAGTTTGCTGATAATGGATCACTGCTTTGTTCATGTGATTATATTGAATAACTCCATGTAATATACACAGGCATGTACATGAACGTACATCAAGCTACATGTACACTGTTTCGCGTTCATGAACATAACTTATCACTGGTATCTTTTGATTGTATTTCAGCATCTTCAAAATCAGATACTTTTGTATTAAAGTCATCAGCTATACTGTTAGGCGTTTATTTATTATGTTGGACCCCATATTCAGTTGTTTGTCTAATGGCCCTTATTGGCTACGCCGATTACATAACACCACTAATGGTTGAATTACCATGTTTATGTGCAAAAACAGCAGCCGTTTGGGACCCATGTATCTATGCTTTCAGATACCCAAAGTTTCGTGTTCTGCTTCAACGTCAATTTGGATTCCTTAGACTAACCAAAAATAAGGTCAGTTACGTGAAAATTTCATTCTCATAACTGTTGATCATCTCCCATAAAATAAAGTGAACTGATAGTAATCAAATTTTAAAACATTTTGTATATTTTAAATACCAGAAATAATCTCTGACAGATTACGTTCCTGAACATAAATGTCAACGTTAAATAGAAATCGGTTGCTCTTTTGATTTCTTCGGATTAACGATTGACTAAAGGTTCAACTCAAATTAATAGTATTGAAATACTGACAGTGAGCATAATATATTTCACATAAGGGTAAATATCCCTCTATGAGCACACGTAAAAAGAATCTGCATAATATTTAACCATACGTGCTCAAGTTATATGCATTGTTGTTATATAGCATTATGTTTCAAATTATAAAGTCGTATTTTTAAGACGTCAATAAACTTGCCCCTGGTTTATTCATCTATGGCTGTGTAGGATAGTGATGGAGTATTTAAATATCTTAGTACTTCAAATCTACAAAACGTCAAGAAGTAAACTGTAGGTACATATTACAACCAGATACTGAAACCTTTTATCGCTAATATAAGAGCTTGGTCCGAACAACGTTATAAAATGACTAGATAGACATTTTCGTCGGTGAAAAAACCTTTGATTCCTAAACCAGTGCTCTCATTCACAGGTAAAAAGTTCTGAAGTTTTACTGGTCTTTTTCTTAAAATTAATTTGAAGATACGAATTATCCAAAGCGCGGAAAAAAGGAAAAACATTACACTGTGTCTGGTACAACTAAGTAAATTGGATAGTTGAAAATGTAGCAAAAATATTAGATTCATTTCATAAAAATAAGAGGCAAGTTTACTCGACAATAAGAAGTATGTACTATCAGTTTAGGTGTATAATGATTCATAGTCTGCTATTCATTGTAAATTTCTACATAAAGTATGTTGATAGTATTACACTCACGTAGTTAAATAAAATTTTATGGAATAAGCAAAGGTTATTCCAACAAAAAGTGATTCAGAACATTGTTTACTGAAAAATGTCTCTTATCTGGCTGAAAGAAAATTAAAATAAGGTCGGAAATTCAATTATACTGATGAAAAGAATCTTTGCTACAAAATAATTAAAAATAATCTAGAATAACGGTAGTTTTCCTAAACTTACTGTTGTTCGCAGCTTATATTTTCCACACTGACTGCCGTATACATCATTTTAAAATGACAGATTAAACGATAGCTTTTGAAAATCTTGATTTCAATTGTTACATTAAATGTCCTTCTAAACAAAATAGCAACCGTTACGATATTCACTAATAGCAAATCGGAATCAAGAACTTTTCTAATGTTGTTGGTGCATAAAAATAAAATAGAAATTGTCGAATCATGAAAGTAGTAATGACATTAAAATAATGTTTCAAAGCTTTAAATAATAATAACGATTTTATGGTTAAGATCATGAATCGATCAATGTTAGACCACCATTGAAAACTTGGAAGCACTAAACGATTGTTTCATTCTAGAATGGACTCCGTCTAGTGCTTTTAGGTTTCCAATAGTAGTTTGACATTGATCGATTCGTGATCTCAATCAAAACTCAACATTATCCACAACCCTGTACTGACTATTTTTATTCTTGAAATAGGGGAAATATATACACCAAAAATGCTGAAGAATTTAACCGAATAGTTTCACAGTGTTTAGGCGCCAAGTTAATGTGAGACAGTAAAGAGGAAAAATTTACTTGTGAAATCTCAGCGAATGAATTTTAAAAAAAATTCAACGTTTCGCTCGGCAATCTGGTCCAAGCTTTTTCAAGAAATTATAATCAAATATCAAATTTATCGAAAAAAAAGCCTGAACCAGATTACCGAGAGGAACATTGGATTTACATCAAATTCATTCGCTGAGATTTTACAAATACATTCTTCCTCCTTAATGGCTTAAGGATTTATTCTTGAAATTTTGACTATACATACATAAACAAAATGATTTCTCTGACAGAAATCAACAATACTTTCCGATGTTTCAAGTTATTATTTGTATCAATTTGTTCTGGTTCTACTATTCAATTACTTACTTACTTACGCCTGTTACTCCTAATAGAACATAGGCCGTATTCAATTACTAGCGGCATTTAAATTACTTACATTGGAAAAATGTCATACGATTTCTACTTTAAGAAAGACGTGAAAATCGGTTGTAATTTTGTAACAAAGGAGAAATCTCAAAGATTTGAAAAAATTCTCGACAACAAAAGCTACAAATTAAGACATAAACACATCAACATTTCACTTTTTATTTATGGCATGCGTGAATTTAGTATAATCCATACTTGATTATAAAATGAATTTGCCAATGAATGAGAGCAATGTCACTGACGTGAACCGTTTATATCCAATAAAAATATAATTTAGTGACCCAGTTTGTTGAATTTTGAAGATAACGACTTAAAGGAGAATATGTCAGTTGTTCATCTAAAGGTGGTATAAAGTTTTATTCTGAAACACTCAGGAGGTTATGTTCCAAGTGCTAATACCGATTGAAGTCTACGTATTAAAGTTTTTGAGTATAGTTGTTTCTGCTTATGCAAAATGGAATTGTGGAGGCTAATTTCCTCTATACCTAACTCCAATAAATAATATTCCGTTAGCTGAGTATTTAACGCAAGCTAAATCTCCTAGTAGAATTATGGATTTACTCGAGAGTATTCAAAAGCCTGAACACCAGTTATAGAGTTAGTTTATTGTTAAAGATTAGTAAAATCCGCAAGCGTACAGGAATCAAGCACACAGGGAAAACGAGTCTGTATGTGTTTGTGCTAAACATTCATACATATTAATGAGTGTTATTCGATTGTGGATGAATTATTGATTGTCTGGGTGTTACAGCCAATGGGAGAATAGATTTAAAATTGACATGTGCTCAATCAGACTCACACAGAAAGTTACATAATGGATTGAGTGTCTAAATTACAGTAAGCAGATAAATAATACAATAGTTGAATGAACCTACTGTCGAGTCGTAAATATGTAAATTTATCCTAATAAAACTCATAACCAAGTTACATGCTTTTTACACTTATCATAAACAACCATAAACAATCTTGGAATGACCTAATGTACACAGTAAAATTAAAAACCTGATTATTTATCACGACAAAATAAAAATATTTTATAATACCACTTTAACTAGTTCTGACATATTTTGTAACTCTACTTCAATGAATTACTGTTAGAAAATGAGAGCAACTATCTTGCTTGATAGTAAATATTTTATAGAAAGTTGTGATCTGTTTTGTTTTATCTTCTATTTAACCTACTTTTCAACTGTTGTTACTATGCTCTTCTAGAATATCTTAATAGTAAAGATTAATTACATGAATGCTATGATAGGTTTTTAGTATTCCGGTTTGCAAGTTAGGATATCAATTTGTCCTTAATATTAAAAACGTCAATATCTTTTTTCTAGCTTCACATCATGGATTGGCTTATGGTTAGATAACCACTAAAAACCAGAAAATACTGAACCGCTGTTTTGTTTTGATATGGGACACATTTTGTTATGGTTTGTTTGCATGCCAAAAAAACAATGAAACTTGCAAATGTTGAATCAGAATGAAAGATTTTTAGTTTGGGGATGGTTATGACAATCAAAAAATAAACATTTGAGAACCACTACAAACCAGAGACTACTGAACAGCTATTTCATCCTAAGAATCAATTATAGGATTTTAAGAACTCATAACATAGAAGTAGACCACTGAGCCTAAATTCAATGATCTACATCTTTTAAATTGGTAATTTTACGGTATAGCCTGATTCTTAATTCATGATAATCCGAGATAACTGTTTCATTCGATAGGTGGATGATCTCGAATTATTGCATAGTAAACATTTCGTGCTATCTACGATACGTATCAGTAAAATGTTTCTAAATCTTATCTTTCCTTTTTTCTAATAGACTGATCAGTCCTCTAGAGGAGAACTCTCAACAATCTGTCAAATTGAAGAATAGAAAACGTTTTACAATCATGGAAAAAATAGAAGTTAACCACAGTTTCATGTGCCCCAATCTTGTTCTCATATCATCGTAACTACTGACTAGAAATGATGTAATTATCTAGATTTACACTTACAGTTGGAAGAACCATATTTGTTACCATTTTTCTAATTTGTAAAATAGCAGTTGGGATAGTTGTTAGTGATCAATAGAATAAAGCTATTGAATAGTTCGAGTTATTGTTATTAAGAAATTATCAGGGATTACTTTTTCTGTAAACACGCTCGATTTTTTGGAAGTCAGTAAATTCTGAAGAGATAATGTTTTCAAAATCGAAGTCTATAGAATAGGGTAATCCTTCCTAAAATAATGGAATTATATACTCCAGTATCACTGGAGAATAAACTCGGCAGTTATTAATCCTGATGACACTAGAAATCAACTGATAGGATGATGATGTACTAACTATAAATCTTTAATGCTGATAGTTATTCCTTTAGAAAACAGAGCAAGCAATTGTAATATAAGATAATACTAGGCACTATCTGCTCACATTTATCCTCAAATTAAAAAGACTAGAAAATAAAGTGACCTATACGGTTGTAATTTCGTAAAGCATATAGATCATACTACTATAGGAATAAAGAAGCACATACAAAGTTATGAAAAAAAATTAGATGATATTATATAACATATGTCATACAATATTTTCTCCTAAGCAGTTCTTAGTTTACATATAATAAGGTAATTAAATTAACTATTTTTAGTTAGTTTCTGATTGTACTCTACATATAAAACCATTATAAGACTATATGTATATGATTCCGAATAAAAATATTCATATTGTGGATTCTTCCTGAAGAATAATTGAAAATTGTTTCCATGGCCACATTATTAGATTATTTGTTTTGAACGGACAAACTAATTGCGATGAAGTTGTATTCATCTTATTTTCTAAATGTCATATTAAATACCCATAAAATTTTGAATGATGATAAAAATGTTAATATTTAAAATAAATAATGTAAAATAATGAATTTAATTTTTATTCTTATTACATAATAATTGGGATTTATTCAAACGGATTATGAAAAGTTGGTAGATAATATTATCATTAAATATTTTGTTGTCATGTTGATAAGTATCTGTAAGGTGAATTGTGATCAATTAGAAAAACGATCATCTACACATTATAACGGTAAAAATAGATTTTTTTTTAGTGTTTAGTTTGGTTTCACTCGTTATCCATCTCATTTGTTTTCTTTAACATTAGTAAGAGCAATTCAGTCAATAAATTAAGTATTAGCTTAATAATTCATTATTTTAAAAAAAATGAAAATGTCTGTAAAGAATAATCAAACTACTTGAAGATTCAAATTGCAGAAAATATTAATAGTACTTCATCACTACGTGTGTTTATCAAGGGATGGTGTATCAATCTCATCATATTATTTATTTTATTACCCAATAGGATTATTAAAACTTGACACAGATTTCTTGCTCTTTTCACCTTCATCTTTAGCACGTACATTTATGAAAACATTATAGAGATAAGTGTATCACTTATCGATAGTTCCGTTATTTGAACTATTTTCAATTATTTTAAGTTGATTGCCTTAAGGATCATTTTTGTTTTATTCATCACATATAAGATTTGATTAATCGCATGTCGATGTTTGAGTAGACTATTTAATAATTGCATTGTATGAACAGTGAATACTAGATTAAGCATGTAGTGAATCTTTAAAAATTCTTGAATAACTGATATTATATTTGCAGAAGTGATTAAAGTCCGTCAATCAAACAGAATTTCATTTTATATTTGGTATTCATATGAATTAAAGATAAGGTGAGGAATTATTGAATCCAAGTTAAGTTCGAAATAACTTAGTCCAATCAAACAAGGATAAAAAATTTCCTGCACAAAACCTAAATATTTTTAATTAATTGTCATCTCACAACATACCATTAAATGTAAGAGGGAATTGTATGTTTTTATAAATGATCCTATTGTCATATCGACTATACAGCAAATTTTCGTACCGAAAAAGCGGATACATCTTTTTCAAGAAAGAAAACGTTTGAAGTATTTTAAAAAAAATTACAAGTTTTAGAAATAGTGGTCAAAAATGAAAATCTATAATGTAATTGGTTATTCAGTATCCCTATATTTTATTCTTATCACGGTATATTTTAGTCTGTAAGGTTAACTTTAACAAATTGTGGTGGTCGCTATTCAATATGATTTTTAAACTTCGTATACAGTCTTTATAACAATCACTAGATAACTCCCCAACGGTGTATTAATCAAAAAGCGAATACGAAGTGTTGATTATGTTTATTATTGCACTACGCACAAATAACCAAAATTACAAGTATTCTAAGCAAGCATGAAAGAGTAGCGCCGAAAAGCAAGTGGGCAAGTGAATGAGCGAGTCAATGAAGAGGATTTATATATATATATATATATATATATAAGTTAACAAATGAGCCTAACCAAATTAAATGTGAATAAACTCAATTGCAATAAATTATACTCACTTACCGGAATATACGTACTTATATAGACATTAAATATAATAAATGAAAAATATTAAATCATACTACTGACAAACCATATATTCTGAATTTCTTGTAGTTTAATCTTCATGTAAATAAATGTACATCAAATTAATTATCCATTAATCATTTAAAACAAGTTGAATAGATTTTTGAGTAAAATTAGTCATAATAATAATTTTAACTTTCGTTTCTATTCTCTATTCCAAAAATCACTTCATTAATGAGAGCTAAATACATAATTTGCATTTGTTTTGTTTACCAATACAAGAACACCAACTGAATGCTTCAAAAATGATCGAATTCAGTTGTCTTGTTGTCATATACAAAATCAAAAAAAATGTCACACAAATGAACACAACACATACACATATATGTATTCATAAAACATGATTAGAACCAATAAGAAATAATTATACAATGGGTTACTTACAAGCACAATTTTATATGAATGTTGAAAGTATCCAGGCAACTAATGAAATTATAGTTATAAAATATTACTTTCAACTATACTATGTAGACGTAAATTTTTTCAACAGCTTTGAAACATCAACTAAAAGATATATAGAACAATTTTTATTAGTGATGTGAAAACATGATCAGTAATACATTTAAGAATGAAGACAGAGAATGTACTCAAAGTATATTTGTATGAATTGTTATTAAATTACATCACAGTTTTAATAAAAGGTAATCAACATAACAATTTAAACAACCTTTACAATGATTAATAATGACAAATATATACAAACTATATAAGATGGTGGAGAAGATTTGCAGCTCAGGTGGATGATTTTGGTGGAGTTTTGTTCTCTGAGCTCAGAGAACAAAACTCCACCACAAACTATATAAAATTCTAAATATAGAAATATGAACAATATTTATTCACAGATTACTTTCTTCTTGACCATTTCTACATAGCTCATACCTTCCTGATCTATTTTGTCCAAAAAAATATTATCATACATAATTGACTTTCAAAAAAGAAAATGTAAAGGCCTAATATAATATATAGAATAAAAATATTATTCAATAAAACAAAACTGAAAATAATATGTATACATTGCAAATATGTACAATAGGTATGTTGAGCGTACGTATTTGAATAGAAACAAAAACGTTCATGTTTGTAGTAGTCAACACAAAATAAAGAATACATTACATAATAAAAATTCAAGGTGAAGTAATATATATTTATAATGGCTGGCACTATGTCAATCCTTCATAGCTTATTCGAGCTTCCGGACAAGACAATTCATTCATCCTTCTGAAGTCACATTTTGACTTTGTTAATTATTCGTGGATTGGTTGAAGTTAGTCAGTAACACCGTTGGATGCCGGCTCAGTGGTCTAATTAGTTAAGTGCTTGCGCGCGAGACCAGTAGGTCCTGGGTTCGGATCCCGCGGGGTGCGGGGTCGTGAATGCGCACTGCTGAGGAGTCCCGTACTAGGACGAAACGGCCGTCCAATACTTCCAGGTTTTCTATCGTGGTCCAGCTTCAATTGACTCATGATTTCAACCTGTGAAATTATTCGCTTATCAATCTTGACTGTTTTTATGTGAACATATGTGTGTGCATTTCTTATCCAGTTCATAACATGTCTGATACTTAATTTTGTGTGACTATAAATATCGATTATTGCTTGATCAAATCGAGTTGACTCATTTGCCTTCTCCACCACTCGTCATTTCGTTGCACTTTTCTCAATCCTCTTACTTTCGTCGCTACGTCTCTCTGATTGTCTGTTCTCATCAACGATTGTACAAAATGTACGTATTCAAAACTTATTCTCGTATTCGACTTATTTAATTCCGTTATTCGCCCATGTGATGGTTATATATGGTTATATACGTGGATTGGTGACATGTATATTTCAATAACAATTAGTCATCCGATTTTATTGGAGTCAGATTTAAAGCCACTAAATATATACATGTTTTATGTTATATGAGATGATTAAAAAAATGAATGTAAATACCTAGATTGCGTTTGATACAAGAAGAAAACAGAGTTAACATTGAGTACAAACAAAATAATACCAAATAATATTTTACAAGAAATTTAATCAACAAACTGTTTATTTGTATTTGCACTATCAATCCTCTCATTTTTTTGTCTAGTGAAGTTGATTTCAAACGATTAATTGAGGTTATTTTTATTTTTTTGGCTGTCGTTGAGTATAAGAATTTTCCAGCGATTTCCACTGTTCATAAACAGCACTGGATTTTTAAGAGTTTCTGAACTGTTTACAAGTGGATAAAATTGAATTTGTAAGCGGTTGAATTGTTGCTGACTTGATAACTCCGGAAAAATATACAGGGAAAACATGCTTTATTTAACTCATCAACAATCAATATTTTTTTATTAGTTTAAGGCTGTAAGTGTCTAAACAAATAAAATACTTTCACCCAGACATTGAAAACCCAACTTCAGAAAAGGAATACTTCCTTTATCCTTTTATTTCTAACATGCTTATTTTGGCTCAACACAGACATAATCTTAAGTTTAAATATAAACAACAATACCGATTAAATTATTCAAAATTAATCAAATACAAGATATAAGAATCAATTAATCTAATAGAGTTTTAATATTCTTTGTTTACTGTAGATCATCCAGACTGAACTTAGGTTACATGGATCATGCTAAATTAACTGTTGATTGTTTACTCGAAATTTTACAAAAGATTTATTGACCCCAATGACACTATTCTCTTACTTTCATCCAATTAATAAAATGATACGTTCATTCCATTTTCAAGAGTTTTGATCCAGGTTGATCAAAAAATTGTATAAATACCTATATTCGGAGGATTTTCAGCAATTAATCTCAAGTATACTATGTAAGATATCACATTATTTCCATGAAACTCTTGGTATCAATACATTTTACAAATGAAAAAAATTCTTTTTCAAAATAACCAATTATTATTCTTCTACTGTTTCGCATAATAATTTTTACATCAAAGTTCAATTAAGAAAACAAAACTTTTCATTAATAAGGATGAATAAGTACAATTCATATTGTCAACCAAACATTTAACCTATGAAGGGTAGTGTATTGACTGTTTTAATTAATCTTAAAATTTAGCTCCAAGTAATAAGTAAATTTCAGTGGTTAAGATTATGAGTCAGTTGAATCTAGACCACCATGGAAAACCTGGGAGCACTGGACGGCCGTTTCGTCCTATTGTGGGACTCCTCAGCAATGCGCATCCACGACCTCGCCCTCTGCGAGATTCGAACCCAGGACCTACTGGTTTCGCGCGCAAGCACTCATGATCTTAACCATTTAAATTACTATAATATCCACAAAACGCTTACTTACTTTACTTACTTACGCCTGTTACTCCCAATGGAGCATAGGCCGCTGACCAGCATTCTCCAACCCACTCTGTCCTGGGCCTTCTTTTCTAGTTCCATCCACAAAACGCACCTGATATTATTAAGGAAGTGTTCGTTTACGAGATCCTGTCATACTTGATCACTAAAATTATCTATATTTTCTTTGATAAACTGTTAAACTACGAGATTTTTTACGAAAGGCTTTTTTCATATCTGTTCGTATTTATTTTAAACCAATCGACATCTTGCATTTTCTGACAAGCTAAAAATTAATTATTTACGAGCATTTTAACGTTAATACCCTGGTCATGTTTGTGAGTAAATAAGACAGTTACTTAAAATTACAATAGCTAAGCACTATGAATCATACTAATTTTTATCTATTATCTCATAGTTGAATGCAGACCGATATTTCTCATTTTCTTCTTACTTCAAACTGCTTCCCAGAAGATTATTAAAACATGCAACCACAAATAAGCTAAATAAATAATTTATGAATTGAACATTACAAACTTTGATTACATTCTTCTCTTTCAATAGCTCCTATAATCCCATTTCAAATTCACACTGGTATTTGTCACCATTTAAAGTATAAAGTAACAAAAGGATGACATGAAGAAGTCTAATAATCACGTATACTAAGAACCACACTATCTCACGAAACATTAAACCTTGAATAATCTTCTGGTTAATCACGCTTTATTAACTTAATATCAGATGATGACCTAATATGTGCATCAAGAATAAAATTTTTCATGTATTGTAAACTGAGTTATTCGAATTGTGGTTTTCAGTAAGTTTTGTTATTCCTAAATTTGATACATGTTACCCTAGTACGAAGAAATAAGTTTATTTTTGGTTTGCTACCTTCAATAAACTTCGTAAATATGCCTGTGGTAAAATATGTGTCACCGGAAACAAAAATAGGGTGGCAGTATGATATTGGAAACTAGTTAAAAAAAGAAACAGAAATGATTGCGCTCTTGATCAAAAGTGTGGGGTTTATGCGCTCATCTCAAGATCTATCGATCCTGAATTAGTCACCTAGTGAGAATATTTACGCCTACAGTCAATAGAAACAAATAAACTGTATATTTCAAATTCGGTACTCATAATTTTCGATAAACAACGACTTAACAAGAACTTATTTTAATTTTCGGATCTGTAAATTTAACGGTTTTCAAACCATTATTTCTTTAATTCTTGACTTAATCATAAACACTAATAAACGGTTTTCACGATTCACTAAATTAATGAGAGCGTTTACGTTTGCCGTAAGTCTTAAAGGAATGACTATTCGTTGAGACATGGGCTACTAGGTCCAAAACATAATTTATTTAGATGCACACGTAGCTCTTCCTAAATAGATTAAAACTACTCATTTGTCATGCAAATTTCTAGTTTTGACACAAATACTCTAAATCTCGTTTATTGTAGCTTTATATCCAAAAAACATATTAGAATATTATTGATTTAAACTCGTCCCTATTGAAAAACTACTGACCTCTTTAAAAATCACTGAGCAATAATCTGAAACAAATGACACTTCATTAATATTTTCTATGTGGGTCAGTATAACCTAAATATATTCAACAACTCAGTGTATATTCGTAAGTGAAAGTAGGTCTACCCAGCTAACATACTTTCAGTTTCGTGAGTATTTAGACCTCA